CGGTTCACTGCTTATTCAGGTATTAACGAAGTGACCGTTATATTAATTATGTTTCACGATGTTGTTTATAATTGTATTTATGTCAATATGCCAATAAAATATGATAATAACTTGAAAAAATTACAGAACAAAGATGCGAACCTATATTGATTTCTTTTAGTTCTAAGAATACATTACATTTTGTCAACTTATAGCATATTTACTTCCGTCTTTAACGAAGCATACTTTGTTAATATATTTTTTTAATAAAACCATTCAGTACAAGCGCAGTTGGATGGCGGTAGTTTTGACAATATACTGTTTTCACCAATTCAACTTGTCTCGTTGTGGATTTATCTTGTGGGTTTGTATTTGTGGTATCTTTTCTAACAAAGACTACAAACTGGAATTGCTTGGAAGTGAATAAATATTGACATTCTTACTCAAAGCCATTCAAATACAGCATTACCGTAAGTGAAGGGAGGCAACTCTTGTCCAACATTTCCACTTCAAGCCGTCTGTATGAATTTCTGTATTTATAATCTGTTTAAAATCGGTGTTAGTGTTTTGATATTATTTTTATATATTATTGTTATTGCTTTGTAACTTTATGCTACATGTTGATACAATTTGACACAGAATTCAACAGAAGCATTCGGTAAATTGATATAACACACAGCGGTCCAATAGTCAGCGCCGGTTCCCCCCCCCCCCCCCCCCAAAAAAAAAAATCACCATTTCTTTCACACGTCGGATACTCAATAAATTTGATATAGTACTCAAACGATATTTGCAAAATTATTTATGCAATTCAGTAACGTTATGGGATAACGCTCCTCAACGACATAAACCCAACAACAATATATTCAATGAGATCTTAGACCATGTCAAGGAAAACAATTCTTCAATTAGATCGGCAGCCATTTGGAATAATTTACCTGAACATATCATTTCAGTAAGTAATATGAACGAATTTTAAAACATGTTAGACAAACACCGAAAAAACTAAGAACTGCTCTTTATTTACAAAGCTGCAATCACATATTTCCAAATTGTAAACATGATATACATCTGACTGACTAAATCCTTTACAGCAGACATCACACTGGTAACACTTCTGTCCTGTTTGTGACCTGGAATGTCTCTTAATTTTATTTGACTGACTAAATCCTTTACAGCAGACATCACATTGGTAAGGCTTCTGTCCTGTTTGTGACCCGGACTGTCTCTAAAGTTCATTTGACTGACTAAATCCTTTACAGCAGACATCACACTGGTAACACTTCTGTCCTGTGTGTGACGCGGAATGTCTCTTAAGTTCATTTAACTGACTAAGTCCTTCACAGCAGACATCGCATTGGTAAGGCTTCTGTCCTGTGTGTGACCCGGAATGTCTCTTAAGTTCATTTGACTGACTAAATCCTTTACAGCAGACATCACACTGGTAACACTTCTGTCCTGTTTGCACTCTCCGGTATATATTTTAACTATGATGACAACAAATACCACACTTTGTATTGTTTCTCATCTAGATGTTTCCGCAGATGAATGCTAAGGTTGGCCGCCTGTCTGAATCTTTATAACAGACATCACACTTGTATGGTTTCTCTCCACTGTGTTTTCGCAGATGAACATTTAGATGGGCGACTTGTCTGAATCTCTTGCAACAGATATCACGCTTGTGTAGCTTTTCATCTGTATGCGTGTGGAGATGATCCTTTAAGCTGTTTGACCTTTTAAATCCCTTACAACATATATCACATTTGTATGGCTTCTCATCGTGATGCCACTGTATATGAACCATAAGCTTGTCGCCTGTCTAAATTCCTTCTTCACAAAGCAAGATCTCAAGTATAACAATGGCAGGTTAATGTGGATGGCAAACATCTCACTTGATATTGAAAAAGAAATATTACATTTCAAAATGAGATTATGCTGGAGACCACACAATTCAACACCGTAAATATATCGAGATCCTGTCTTACAATGCTGTTAGTCTGTGACGGTGCAATTTTAATTTCTAGTAATTGACAATTTGTTATAGCAAAATCGGAATCAACAAGTTTATCAAACAACTTGGTAGGAAGCTGTCCCTGACAGTAACCAAAGATCGAGGTCAACACTGATGTAATGAAGTCAGTTGTGTCCACGAAGAATTATGTCTCCATCATCCTTTACCAATCTTCTAAGAGAGAGACATTATGTCTCCATCATCCTCTACCAATGTTCTAAGAGAGAGAAACATTATGTCTCCATCATCCTCTACCAATGTTCTAAGAGAGAGAAACATTATGTCTCCATCATCCTCTACCAATGTTCAAAGAGAGAGAAACATTATGTCTCCATCATCCTCTACCAATGTTCTAAGAGAGAGAAACATTATGTCTCCAGTATCCCCTACCAGTATCATCTTTTATTTTTTAGTATATGTCTTCTGAAAGCAAAACCTAATCTACCTGTTTTGTTGAAGAGGTCTTTTTGCCTCCAGGTAAAGTTTCTCCATTCTGGGTAAAACACCATCTGGGGTGTATTTGGTCACCTGGTCTTTTTTCTTGCTTAGATTTTGGATCATTATTGTGAAGAACATTATGAGTGTCGATTTCTCTATTCTGTACCGTGTTCCAATCACCACTTTAATCAAGGAATTATTGTTAAAGACTTCTTAGGTGGACAGAAAGTTCTCAAAGAATATTGGAATATCTTGATTTGGCCCAAATATACTTGCTAATGATAATCTGTTTTGATTTATTACAATATCACGTACAATTAACCGTCCCTTGTTGTCTACTGCCAGGAATCACATACTCTAATGTATTTCTCAGAAATACAGCTACCCTTGTGATTATCAAAAATACATCTGTATCGCCATTCACACATTTTTTCTTTCTTGTTTGAACAATGTGTTTTGTTTATGTTGTTGTCATGTTAAATAACAAATTACACACACACACGAACAAACGATGATCGCGTGTGGTAAGTTAAAAGGTGGTACAATATCTCTTATAGCAAACAGTAGTTTCTGTAAAACTGATCAAACAAAGTACATGTTTTATTTATTTGTATGGATATGAGCTGTGGGTTTTACCGAAATGGAATCATTTGCAATCAAACGGTATGTTAAAGAGAGCTCAAAGATTATTTATGAAAGCAATCCAAGGTTTTGACACAAGGACGCGTACTGATATGTGTTATGGACGAATCGGACGGACACCCGTAGACAGTTACAATGATTTCTTTAAAAAATGTAAGTTTTGGAAGAATGCGTTGCTTAAATGGGAAAAAAAAATCCACTGAAGTCTGGTATATTCTTAAAATAGACTGTATGTCTCGAGGTGTCTTAAATAATTCCGGGGTTCTAGATGATATGCTTAGAACTATATAGTATAACTTAGAAGGGGGAGCAACAGCGAAGAGAACGTTTGTCACGTGATAGTTAGTTTTACAGATTTAGATATATTAGAGCTGTTTGACAAACGTGGATATTAGGACATTAGAATAATTGAACTCCTACTGTATTAAAGTGTAGCCATACTGAAAATTTACGTGATCATTTGTGGTGTTCCATTTCAAACAATACTGGTGTTTTACTAAATGTGTACCAACATTCCCTCCCGGATCAGAACCATTATATATTCTCATTGAGACTGGATCTCTTATAATTTAAACGAGGAAGATATCAATGTGTTGAGATCAAATACAGTAATGTAAAAATTCCAAATCATACTACTAGTCGATAGTGTTATGTCAATACCTCACAACCTATATAAAATATATTTACCACTTACAAAGTATTCCTGTCTGTGTTTACTTAGAAGCTCATGAATTTGTAATAGTTTTGTGCTATATATCTTATAATTATATGCATATTTCTGTGTTTGACTTTTTTAGAATAATTATTACTTCAATGCTAATTACTACGTGTTCATTTCACTGCACACTCCAATTTTAATAACATTATTGTAAATGCGATGATATTGTGTTTGAAAAAAATGCATGTGTTATTTATTTGTTAAAATCTGGAGGAATAGAGAGAATAATAAGAATGACACCGGTGATTAAGTTCAACTGACCGCCGAACATTCTGAATTCACCATTCACAACACGAAATAGACGAAACTCTTAACTTCATCCTGCTCGACATTGAACGTCGATTTCGATGAGCTTGTGAACAGATCGTACCAATTTGAATGTGTGTTGTGTGAAGTCCTGAAGAAAGTACGTCATCCTGAGGTAAGTACGTCATCCTGAGGTAAGTACGTCATCCTGAAGTTGTGAAGTCCTGAGGTAAGTACGTCATCCTGAAGTAAGTATGTCAACATGAGGTGATTACGTCATCCCGAGGTTAGTACGTCACCCTGAGGTAAGTACGTCATCCTGGAGTAAGTACGTCAACATGAGGTGATTACGTCATCCTGAGGTAAGGACGTCATCCTGAGGTAAGTACGTCATCCTGAAGTAAGTACCTCAACATGAGGTGATTACTTCACCCTGAGGTAAGAACGTCATCCTGAAGTAAGTATGTCAACATGAGGTGATTACGTCATCCCGAGGTTAGTACGTCACCCTGAGGTAATTACGTCATCCTGGAGTAAGTACGTCAACATGAGGTGATTACGTCATCCTGAAGTAAGTACGTCAACATGAGGTAAGTACGTCATCCTCAGGTGAGTACGTCATCCTGAGGTAAGTGTGTCAATATGAGGTAATTACGTCATCCTGAAGTAAGTCAACATGAGGTGAGTACGTCATCCTGAGGAAAGTACGTCATCCTGAGGTGAGTACGTCATCCTGAGGAAAGTACGTCATCATGAGGTAAGTACGTCATCCTGAGGAAAGTACGTCATCATGAGGTAAGTACGTCATCCTGAGGAAATTACGTCATCATGAGGTAAGTACGTCATCCTGAGATATAGATCGACGTATCTACCACCTGCTATCTCGAGGATTGTACAAAACTATTATCTTTCTGATAGTATTATGATTCCGTATTTTTGTCTTATATCAAAGAGAAAATGGACGACTTTGTATACTTCAACATGTTTATTGAGAATAAAAACACACAAAAACAAGTTATTAAAGAAATCGTAATAGATTTGTCTGAACAAATGTATAGCTGGCAGATATATTTAACTAGTTGACTCCAATTTAGAACTAAGAACACCAGCTAAACACAATTTTCGCTATCTTGAACTAAAAATGGCAATGTCCAGGGCGGACACCAACCCAACACAAATACCGTCACCTAGAACTAAGGATGGACATGTCCAGGGCGGACACCAACCCAACACAAATATCGTCACCTAGAACTAAGGATGGACAGGTCCAGGGCGGACACCAACCCAACACAAATATCGTCACCTAGAACTAAGGATGGACATGTGCAGGCCGGACACCAACCCAACACAAATACCGTCACCTAGAACTAAGGATGGACATGTCCAGGGCGGACACCAACCCAAAACAAGTACCGTCACCTAGAACTAAGGATGGACATGTCCAGGGCGGACACCAACCCAACACAAGTACCGTCACCTAGAACTAAGAATGGACAGATCCAGGGCGGACACCAACTCAACACAAGTACCGTCACCTAGAACTAAGGATGGACATGTCCAGGGCGGACACCAACCCAATACAAATACCATCACCTAGAACTAAGGATGGACATGTCCAGGGCGTACACCAACCCAATACAAATACCATCACCTAGAACTAAGGATGGACATGTCCAGGGCGTACACCAACCAAATACAAATACCGTCACCTAGATCTAAGGATGGACATAACCAAGGGCGGACACCAACCCAAAACAAGTACCGTCACCTAGAACTAAGGATGGACATGTCCAGGGCGGACACCAACCCAACACAAATACCATCACCTAGAACTAAATATGGACATGTCCAGGGTGGACACCAACCCAACACAAGTACCGTCACCTAGAACTAAGGATGGACAGATCAAGGGCGGACACCAATCCAACACAAATACCATCACCTAGAACTAAGGATGGACAGGTCAAGGGCGGACACCAACCCAACACATTCATTAAGATCTAACCATTTTCGTCAAGTTAACTTGTCAAGAATTTAGATGTTACGGAATGTTTATTTTCATGTCGAATTTTTGCTTTGAAGATTTTATTTTGATATCAACATTTGTTTATGATTTATCTCAATGTTTTTATCATAAATAAATAAATCTGTTGTAAAGATCCATTGGATTGATACAGAAGTAGAACGTAGGATTGAGATAGTGTCGCGTACATTTCATAGGACAGACACGTCCGTAACGCGAAGAGAAAATATGTAAATAAGAGAAGATAAATTGATTTAAGAAATCAAAACACATAACGAAAATATCAACACGTGTACACCAATTTAAGGATAGTATTACAATCTCCAGTTTAAAAAAAATCTGCTCTACATTGGTAATAACAATTTATATAGGTATACATGCCTATGTTTAATGGGTTGATTCAGGAGTTCCTGACACAATAGGTCATTATTGTGTAACTAACTACAGCAGACAATACCTTTTGTCATTTACACGCACCACAGTAGTCTAAAGCTGTAACACACAGGCGAAAATAAATGGATGATTAAGATAAAATAACTTATGAAAGCAATTATATCCATTGAGTATGAGTAACGACAGCAGTTGATCCATGTAGAATGAAATTCTTGATTGTGAGAATTTTCAATTCATTGTGCGGGATAAACAGAATACTTGGTTGCTAATAACTCGCCTCGTTGGTTTCTCCCTTATCCTCTCCAAAATAGAGGCTATGTTTAAAGACTGTGTGTTCTCATATGTGTATCATGGATTTGTTTTACAAAACACAAAAAATCAAAGTCTAATAATTATATATGTGAGCGTCCACCTGGGAATTATTAGAGCATGACGGTTAGAACTGACGGTCAAAAGAGTATGAATTTTTGATTTGGCGTTCACGAGAGCATGAATGATGGATCTGGGCGGTTACGAGAGTAGAAGTGTTGGATTTGGCGTTCATGGGAAAATGAATGTTGGATCTGGCGGTCATTGAAGTATGAACAATGGATTCGATGATCATGACATTATGAATAATGTTTGTTATCAGAGTATAAGTGCTGGATTTGGCGGTCATGGCAGCATGAATACTGGTTCTGTCGGTCATGGCAGCATGAATGCTGGTTCTGTCGTTCATAGCAGCATGAATGCTGGTTCTGTCGATCATGGCAGCATGAATGCTGGTTCTGTCTGTCATAGCAGCATGAATGCTGGTTCTGTCGGTCATGGCAGCATGAATGCTGGTTCTGTCGGTCATAGCAGCATGAATGCTGGTTCTGTCGGTCAAGACAGCATGAATGCTGGTTCTGTCGGTCATGGCAGCATGAATGCTGGTTCTGTCGGTCAAGGCAGCATGAATGCTGGTTCTGTCTGTCATAGCAGCATGAATGCTGGTTCTGTCGGTCATGGCAGCATGAATGCTGGTTCTGTCGGTCAAGGCAGCATGCATGCTGGTTCTGTCTGTCATAGCAGCATGAATGCTGGTTCTGTCGTTCATAGCAGCATGAATGCTGGTTCTGTCGGTCAAGACAGCATGAATGCTGGTTCTGTCGGTCATGGCAGCATGAATGCTGGTTCTGTCGGTCATGGCAGCATGAATGCTGGTTCTGTCGGTCATAGCAGCATGAATGCTGGTTCTGTCGGTCAAGACAGCATGAATGCTGGTTCTGTCGGTCATAGCAGCATGAATGCTGGATCTGTCGGTCAAGGCAGCATGAATGCTGGTTCTGTCGGTCATAGCAGCATGAATGCTGGATCTGTCGGTCAAGGCAGCATGAATGCTGGTTCTGTCTGTCATAGCAGCATGAATGCTGGTTCTGTCGGTCATGGCAGCATGAATGCTGGTTCTGTCGATCATGGCAGCATGAATGCTGGTTCTGTCGGTCATGGCAGCATGAATGCTGGTTCTGTCGGTCATAGCAGCATGAATGCTGGTTCTGTCGGTCATGGCAGCATGAATGCTGGTTCTGTCGATCATGGCAGCATGAATGCTGGTTCTGTCGGTCATGGCAGCATGAATGCTGGTTCTGTCGGTCATAGCAGCATGAATGCTGGTTTTGGCGACCAATTAAGTAAGAATAATATATATCGCTCTCATTAGAGTATGAATGTTAGATATGGCGGTCATAAGAGTACGAATTTCCGATATGAAAGTCAATAGAGCATGAACGTTGCAACTGTGGCTAATTAAAGTATTATTTTCGATCTGAAGATCCGTAGAACAAGAATGATTCATCTGACAGTAATCTGAACATGTTGGACCTGAGTTTCATAGGTGTCTGACTGCTGTATCTGGCTGTATTACAGTAAGAATGTTGGATGTGAGGGTCATAGGTGTCTGACTGCTGTATCTGGCTGTATTACAGTAAGAATGTTAGATGTGAGGGTCATAGGTGTCTGACTGCTGTATCTGGCTGTATTACAGTAAGAATGTTGGATGTGAGGGTCATAGGTGTCTGACTGCTGTATCTGGCTGTATTACAGTAAGAATGTTGGATGTGAGGGTCATAGGTGTCTGACTGCTGTATCTGGCTGTATTACAGTAAGAATGTTGGATGTGAGGGTCATAGGTGTCTGACTGCTGTATCTGGCTGTATTACAGTAAGTATGTTGGACCTGAGTTTCATAGGTGTCTGACTGCTGTATCTGGCTGTATTACAGTAAGTATGTTGGATGTGAGGGTCATAGGTGTCTGACTGCTGTATCTGGCTGTATTACAGTAAGAATGTTGGATGTGAGGGTCATAGGTGTCTGACTGCTGTATCTGGTTGTATTACAGTAAGTATGTTGGACCTGAGGGTCATAGGTGTCTGACTGCTGTATCTGGCTGTATTACAGTAAGTATGTTGGACCTCAGTTTCATAGGTGTCTGACTGCTGTATCTGGCTGTATTACAGTAAGAATGTTGGATGTGAGGGTCATAGGTGTCTGACTGCTGTATCTGGCTGTATTACAGTAAGTATGTTGGACCTGAGTTTCATAGGTGTCTGACTGCTATATCTGGCTGTATTACAGTAAGATTGTTGGATGTGAGGGTCATAGGTGTCTGACTGCTGTATCTGGTTGTATTACAGTAAGTATGTTGGACCTGAGGGTCATAGGTGTCTGACTGCTGTATCTGGCTGTATTACAGTAAGTATGTTGGACCTGAGGGTCATAGGTGTCTGACAGCTGTATCTGGTTGTACTACAGTAAGAATGTTTGACCCGAGGGTCATAAGAACAAGAACGTTCGATATGCTTGTCGTTAAAACCATGGGTAATGAATATATGGTACATGTAACAAGTTGGTTCTGGCAGCCAAGAGAGAATATAAAAACTCTGGCAGACATTACAGCATAACTGTTAAACCTGGTGGTCACAGTTGACAGATAAAATTGTTAAATATCTCTGTCAAAAAGATATAAATGTTGGATCTCATAAATTTACTACCATTGCATGGGAAGGAATACATTTTGACATTTAATTTCTACAAAGCATTTCACTAAATCACATTCTGACCACAAAGATTAAAGAAATTAAAGGCATTAAGTCTATATGTATGGACATACGATAAGGATATATATATATTATATATACACTAATATGCTGAAAATGAAATCCGTGAAATGAAAAAAAGTAATGCGTCTTTCGTTATTTTCAACAAGTTGAATGTTTTTGGCAACAGGTCGTAATCTGGACATTCGTTAGACTGAGCAAATAGTATTATTATATACAGTGTGCGGGGCAGTACTCTAATGCATTCGAATTATGCGAATTAATATTTAAAAAATGGAATATATCTTAGTTCAATGAATAGTATACATACATGTACTTTGAGACTCTTTGAGCCATTCTTAACGAATCTTAACACATATCTCTAACTATGAACAGCACAGTCATGAAATGTGGAAATTGGACATTTTGTTTTAAAAATCAGCAGCAATCCGCGAGAGTTACCTCCCTTCTAACAGTCAATGTCCACAGAGCTTTGTCTAGCTCCTGCGTAACTCCCGAACAACGTTATCAAAATGTTTAAGAAAAAATATATTCATGGTCTATTTATAGAGTCTACAAGGCTGTACAATGGAAGTTTGGCTTCCTCAGCGACACGTAAATTTACCGCGGTCTTCATCATCCGCTCGAAAACCAGGCCATAGCTTACTACGTAATACAAATACATTGTGGTACGACCAAAATCCCCAGTCAGCGCTCGTCGACGCACAAATTATGTGTCATATTACCACACGGTCTTCCGGTAAGCACTTGCGGAACACCCAGATTTAGGGCGATCAGGCGATATTTGTCCTTGACAGTAACGATAAAATGACGATAACGGTTAAACACCCGCTGACGTGAGCACTCCGCGACGAAGCTGATGGAACGTCGACGTGTTGGCTTTGAATATTAGTTATGAGCGGTACAGTGTTGCTATAGTGAGGCCTACGCGTGGAGCGCTCGTGAAACGTTAGTAGCGTCTCGTCCTTGTCCGTCTGGCGATTAAGAGGGATTTTGTACTGTTCCTCAACACCGAGAGGGGGACACGTTCCAGGCACTGAATCTAAGACGTCAAACTTCCCTTCAGGCGTCAGCAGACCCTCAAGAACCTTTTCTACTGAGAGCATGTTGCAGTCGGCTGATTTCAGAACTATAATTTTACGCATGGTGCCGTCCAAAGTGAACACCCAGCAGTAAAACTTGGTCATCCGTCCTTCGCGGTCAGGTTTGGTGCCCGTGACCACGCCCCTGGTGTTAGGGCCGAGGTCCAACGAGGCCAAACAGAGGTACTGGATGTGACTGGCAGCTTCCTGGCAATTGATTGTCTTGATGTCGATCTTATCGGGCCTGGTCGCCGGGTCGTAGATCAAGCAACCATTACACTTATCGCCCTCTCGGAAGAAGAGTGAATTGGCTTTAAAACCGAGGTCAGGTAGTTTACAGGTTGTGCTGTAGTGAACTTTAGTCTCTAGTAACACCTGAGTAGGAATATTGACTTTTCTCGATGATTCTCCCATCTCCACCATTGTTTTGAATTTATTGTCTTTACATGTGAATCGTTCCGCCTCTTCTATTGGCCAATAGGGCCAATTTACTCGATTGCTGAGTCGGAACTGTCGTACAGAGGTGGCCGGCTGGTACATTTCCAGACATGCAAACCTCGGGAAACACCCGTTATCAAATACATGTAGCAGCGCAGTGCGACTTTCGTTCTCCGACACGTTTCTAGCTAAGCAATGAAATTTCCCAAATGTAGGAACAAAAAGTTTGTATGAAGATATATTCATATACTGTGGTCCGTCCCTTGTATCTAGTAGCCATGATCCACGCACGCTTTCCTGAAAAGTACAAGGTTTTGTCTCCGGTTCGCATCGGTTGCACGACAGATGGCAGTACTCAACAACCTCGTTATCACAAAACCTCCTGTCATTACAACCTTCAAACTCGTTGGCACATACAGACGGGATGGTGATTTTTTGAAGTGTTATTGACAAATAGTTATCTGTTTCGGTGATTTGTCCATGACCATTTCCGGTACCAGGATCACACACCGGATCCATGAACAAGTGTATCTGTGTTACCTCGCCGTAACTGTCCCGTGTGATTCTCATACACCATGCTTCAAAATCATCCGTGTCTGGCCGAAGGATCACAAACGTGTACTTACCGTATTCCCAGGAAGTAACACATTTAACGCTTTGTTGTATACGCATTTTTAGATTAGTATGTAAACATTCCTCATACCGGAAGTTGAATCGAATGCCGTCCCCATCCTCACATTCGCTTTCCATGCGGGGAAGCACGAGCTTGCCAGGACATATATCCCCTTCCGGTCCTAGAATACGCATGTTGTAGCCACCAACTATGGGACATTTGATGGGGGAGCTTTTCATCACGGTGGGCGATAGTATGGGCCAATGGTCAAGATTTAAGTATTCTTCTGAGCAAAAATCGGGATTCTGATAAGCATGTTTAGCAGACGTTTTAAACTGAACTATATAATCTGACCTCTTAATGAACTGCATACACATGAACTCGGCGTGGTTGTGGAAGCTGTCTCTTCCCTTTGTTTGGTGGCGCACTAGGTATTTACCCGCCTCGACCTCCTGAATACAGCTTCGCTCGTAATGAATACACGTTTGATCTGGGGATGGGCAGTACATGGCATCAATCATGTTTTGTTTGAAGTAAAGGGTGAGGTAGCCCTTGTTTCTATAAGTAGCAGTCCATACCACCCCCGGGGGTAAGTAAGAGGGAAAGTCACAATTAGATGTCACTGGTGCCGGGAACCAGAATAGCAGCATCAGTGTTACCGTCCAGACAAGTCCATTGTTTGGCCAAGCCATTCCACCGCTCCACCTGGCCATTTTACCACGCCAGCAACGAGAGGACTCACACATCTGTAAAAAGTACCAGTAAAGTCAGCCACAGCAATCAGAAACAATGAACAGATTTGAGTTAACTTGAATGAAATCATAATAGAATTACGGAAAGTTCAAGGGGTCAGGGAAACAAAACATCACTACAGTTAAAATATGACTTTAGTGTTGTATTCTATCTCATATTTTTAGTTCCAACACTTTATCCAGATAAAAACTTTTGCATACCAATTATGTGTCATTTTGATAATTGGAAATCGAAATATAAGCAAAACCAAAAAACATTCAGGATGCAAAATAAGTCACATGCAAAACACATCATTTCTCTCAACTTTTATCCACGTGTATTTGTACCTGAAATCTAAACAACCCTATTGTTTTGAATGCAAACATTTGTAGTGAATGACACACCATTACTCGAAAACAGGATTTGCAGGACGATTAGAGGTCAATATGAACTGCCTTGATATGCTCGTTGGTGAGTTCTGCCTCGTATATAAATAGACAACAAGCCATTCAGGACAGGGATGCAGTTCCTATAGCTATTCCAACAATCTATTTGAAAACTGTGCCACCAAAAGCACAGTAAAAAGATGATGAAACGGTGGTTATAACTATGAGGTGGGGTTGCATTAGAATCTCCAGGCCGTTTTCCACACACATAGTAGACAAGGACATTTCAGGTGAGTTGGTAAATACTTTTTCCACACTTAGCTTTGACAGATCAGTACTTAATATCGGTACTGAAATTAAGCACGATATTTGTTCTAATGATACAGTGTTTATCAGTATTGAAGGGTACGCTGTGTACTGAGCATAACAGCTCTTCATCGAATTGACGTTTAGATTGAGCAGATCTAAATATTGTTACGAAAATCAAATCTTTCACAAAATTTTGTAATACATTTGTATTTCAATTTTTCATTTTCCTTTGGTAGAACATAGAGGGAAATGAATTAAAATCTGAGACCTTTTTCACGAAACTATGATATGGATGATCCGTATGTTTCGGTGCTGTAATGGACGCCATCTTGGATCTCTTGAGATCCAAAATGGCTGTGTCTCCATGACAAGCCTCCTTCTCGTGATCATTCTTTTCATCAAACAGAACACAATACTACAATCGCCCTGATGTATTAGCCATAAGACGGTAATAAGTGTACAGGAAGTTGGTGATTTGGATACTTTTGAAGTTGATGATGTATTCCTCTGCGAAGAAGAAAAAATCAGTATTAACTTTTTTTCTGATAATGATTTTTTGAAAGGTTTGATTTTAGAAAGTAGGTTAAAAGCAAAAAAAAATTAATTATATTGCTACTCTGTATATTACAGGCGTGAGAACATGTGTGAAAAGACATAATTCATTTCCATTTTCCTCTTACTTTTGCGGTAACGTTTTTAGGATAACATTTTGTCTGTGATTACAAGATGTACGGTACTCAGATATTAAGAAAAAATAATGTTTTGAAATATCCAGTTTTCATTTAGCAAGCTTTAAATCGCAGCCAAGAATTGAAAATGTTCCAAAATGGCCTAAACCCTTAATTTGACCTACTTTTAGTGTGCGACATATTTTAAGACTTTCAGGTTAAATAGAGAAGTTTTTCATGATACTTTTTATGATTGAAAAGAGGAGATCGCTATGTTTCAATTTTTGCAATTTTCACACAGTTTTTTCAAGATCAAGAAAAAAACTGACTTATTACATTTCGGGTCTGAAACATCAAGAAAGTGGTCCAACACGTCGAAATCTACGAATTTGCAATCCGTGATATGTAGTGATAATTCATGGAAAAAATGAGTTGAAATCTACTCAAGACTGTGGTAGTTATACTCACGAGAAAACCCTTGGCAACCACAAAACATTAGAATTGTTGACACTATCAACCGAATCACGCCGTCAACTACGCCGTTAAAAAAGTAGTCCACAAGTAATATTTCTTCACAAAAGGTTTTGGGTCGGAACTGAGGATAGGGAGGTCGTACTAGGGTTTAGGGTCGGAGCCCAGGATAGGGACGTCGTATTAGATTTTAGGGTCGAGCCCAGGATAGGGACGTCGTACTAGGTTTTACGGTCGGAGCCCAGAATAGGGACGTCGTACTAGGTTTTAGGGTCGAGCCCAGGATAGGGACGTCGTACTAGGGTTTACGGTCGGAGCCCAGGATAGGGACGTCGCACTAGGGTTTAGGGTTGGAGCCCAGGATAGGGACGTCGTACTAGGTTTTAGGGTCGAGCCCAGGATAGGGACGTCGTACTAGGTTTTACGGTCGGAGCCCAGAATAGGGACGTCGCACTAGGGTTTAGGGTCGGAGCCCAGAATAGGGACGTCGTTCTAGGATTTGGGGTCGGAGCCCAGAATAGGGACGTCGTTCTAGGATTTGGGGTCGGAGCCCAGAATAGGGACGTCGTTCTAGGTTTTACCAAAGCTTTACTATAGTCTTGTGGTTAAAATAGTAATCGAACAATACATTCACCAAGTTCGGTTTATAGCTGGGTATGGATGTGTAAGAGGGAAAATGGTGCATCTTACATATTAGATTGTCAGATGGTTTTACCAAATCAAAGTAGCACTATTCTACTAAAAATGAATATTTAGGTTACCAACAGAAGGCATCATCAGCCAGGCTACATTGTAGTAACGGGTAGTAGAGATGGTGATATAGAACAGAAGTTTATGTTAAAAATGCCATTAGCCATTATTGTAATATCAGGATTTCACACTAAAAATAGAGCATACATTCATTGATAAAATTATTGTGGTAGGATTAAAGACATTTAGACTGCAAAACTCTGCCATTCATAACGATCATAAAAGTCATATTACGAAAATCCATTGCTTAAAAAATAATCTGTTAACAAGTCATTCTGCATCAACATATTAAATTATTTCTTTTCCACCAACATTCTCCTTCTATAAGGCGGGTTGCGTCTACCGTCAGCTTTGCTCGATCAGCATGCTACAAAATAGTCCTCGTGGTGTCGGATTAGGGAGAAAACTGCTATTTATCCAGGAGGCGGCGAAGATTTCTACACATTGCTGAGACAATTGGCACTGATTGTGGTTAATTTGTCACACTTTGCCCGTACAACATCAAAATACACGCCTCTTCTACAGGTCTCTGTAATTTACTAAAAGACATTCTTACATTAGCGTTGGCCAAACCTGCGTCGTTTTGTAAATTTGCGATTTGTTATTATGGCGTCTGAAGCGGATGTACCGAGTGTAAAACCTAACGACAAGACCATATATCCCTGACCTTCTAGAGGTCAAACACTAAACGATATACCCCTGACCTTCTAGAGGTCATACTCTTAACGATATATCCCTGACCTTCTAGAGATCACATCCTAAACTCTATATCCCTGACCTTCTAAAGGTCACATTCTAAACGATATACCCCTAACCTCCTAGAGGTCACAACCTAAAACGCTAGTAATTTAACCCTGACTTCCTAAGAATGTAACCCTGACTTCCTAACAATGTAACCCTGACTTCCTAGCATTGTTACTCTGACTTCCTAACACTGTAACCATGACTTCCTAACACTGTAACCCTGACTTCCTAACACTGTAACTCTGACTTCCTAGCATTGTAACCCTGACTTCCTAGCATTGTTACCCTGACTTCCTAACACTGTAACCATGACTTCCTAGCATTGTAACCCTGACTTCCTAACACTGTAACCCTGACTTCCTAGCATTGTAACCCTGACTTCCTAGCATTGTAACCCTGACTTCCTAGCACTGTAACTCTGACTTCCTAGCATTGTAACCCTGACTTCCTAACACTGTAACCCTGACTTCCTAGCATTGTAACCCTGACTTCCTAGCATTGTAACCCTGACTTCCTAGCACTGTAACTCTGACTTCCTAGCAATGTAACTCTGACTTCCTAGCATTGTAACCCTGACTTCCTAGCATTGTAACCCTGACTTCCTAACACTGTAACCCTGACTTCCTAGCATTGTAACCCTGACTTCCTAACACTGTAACCCTGACATCCTAGCATTGTAACCCTGACTTCCTAGCAATGTAACCCTGACTTTCTAGCATTGTAACCCTGACTTCCTAGCATTGTAACCCTGACTTCCTACCACTGTAACCCTGACTTCCTACCACTGTAACCCTGACATCCTAGCAATGTAACCCTGACTTCCTAGCATTGTAACCTGACTTCCTAACACTGTAACCCTGACTTCCTAGCATTGTAACCCTGACTTTCTAGCACTGTAACCCTGACTTCCTAGCCTAGCAATGTAACCCTGACTTCCTAGCATTGTAACCCTGACTTCCTAGCAATGTAACTCTGACTTCCTAGCATTGTAACCCTGACTTCCTAGCAATGTTACCCTGACTTCCTAACACTGTAACCCTGACTTTCTAGCATTGTAACCCTGACTTCCTAGCAATGTAACCCTGACTTCCTAGCATTGTAACCCTGTCTTCCTAGCAATGTAACCCTGAATTCCTAACACTGTAACCCTGACTTCCTAACACTGTAACCCTGACATCTTGGTGATACAATTTTATACAGATATAATCTTTACATCCCTGTAAGGTTAATATTCCACCACTGTATCGCGAACACTTCAGGACATATCCTGATCCATACCCACTAAGTATACGTCATTCTGATATCATTCTGGTGATTACGCTAGTCAACACATCTTCGCCATTGTCAATATTCGACATGTCTTATCTAACAATAATACTGAATAACCGGTCGGCTTCAGTTTATATAGTGTCTAGAATTATACCGCCTGATTTGGCGGGTGTCCGTCTGCTTTAAGTGTCACTCAGATAAGAACAGGACGTGACCACTCAACACTAGCGCCCTCTACCGGTCTGGAGAGCGAGCAATATTACCGATGATGAACGCTTTACTGGGATTTCACGCTCTAACACTCGTAGTGATTCTGTAAACGGTGTTTTGCATGACAATATACCGAAACATTCCCTCGACATTGATTTTTAATCCCAGTATCACTGTTGTAGTAATTATGTGCTTCCTATCAACAGT